CTGCCTGCAAGGGAGAGAGAGCATTCATTCACTGCCACAGCAGCAGTGCTACAGGACCCCCGGGCCGAGCCGACGCGACCCCCGGGCCAGGCAGGCAGTTGGGGGCCTGGGACAAAATCCCAAACTAAGGCCCCCTCCCTTCCAACCCATCACCATGGAGACAAAAGGGGCCCTGGGGAGGGGGCTGGAGAGCTAGCCTGCCCCACACTTGCCCTGCCGCAGCAGCTCCTGTCCCACAGGCTGGGCCCTGCCGCCCTTCCCTCCCCATGGGGGTGGCCAGGCTGAATTGGAGTGAGTGGTGCTGCAACCCCACAAGCCAGGTCTCTACACCGCTCACTCAAACCCCAGGGCTCCAGGGCCTCCGACAAACTATCCCTCCCCTCCCTGGCCCCGGAGTTATCCAGTAAACAAATGACCTGAGCCCCGGAAGCCCTGGATCACGCAGCACGGCGCCCGTAGGGGACACACAGTGCCAGACACTCTCCCCAGTGCTAAGGTGACTCTGACCTCAGGAAAGGAAGGACTGGGTGCCCCGAGCAAGGCTAGTTAATATGCCTCCCCTCCCCTCCCCGCCCACGACATACTGCCCCACAGGGAACACAACACTGCGCCAAGATGGCGCCAGCACCCCAGTGAGCCCTTCCCAGCCCAGCTCCCAACTCGGTAACCCCACAGCCTGCAGCTCACTGTAATAGCCAACACCAGGGGCTCAGCCCCACAGGCCCCGCTGCTCAGCCCACTACTTTCCTGGAGGTTTTTAAGCAGCACAAGGTTGCCTCTATCACTGCCCATGCCCACTGGGTTCCGGGCCTGCGTTTGCAGAGCCACCCGAAGACAATCAGTACTGAACTCTGCCGGGGCACCTCACCTGCCTCCAGAACGGGCTCACGAGGGGCCGGGAACGCAGCTGCGCCCAGACAGCAACAGGAGAACGGCGCCAAGGGCTCCACGCTGCCCGTGCCAGCTGGGTTACAGGTCTGCGCTTGGAGAGCCATCGTAAGACAATCATAAGAACATAAAAACGGCCACACTGGGTCAGACCAAAGGTCCATCTAGCCCAGTGTCCTGTCTGCCGACAGTGGCCAGTGCCAGGTGCCCCAGAGGGAATGAACAGAACAGAGAATCATCCAGTGACCCATCTCCCGTCACCCATTCCCAGCTCCTGGCAAACAGAGGCTAGGGACACCATCAGTACGGAGACAATCAGCAAATTTCCTTCTCATGCCTTGGCCCCAGTGGTAGACGCTCTGCCTCTGTCCCCCAATGCCCATGCAGCCCCACTGCCTACAGCGAGCACAGACAGGTGTCACTGACGGGCCCCAGCACCGGGGCTCAGGCCAAGGAGGGAGAGGTTGGCTGGGCTAAGGAGCAAAAAGCAGGAAACCGTTATTAATGTCATTAAGGCGAGAGACGGCCCCAAGCCCCGATCAGCAGAGACGACCCCCCTACCTCGGGGCAGCTCTGCCGAGTAGGAGGCGGCTGGTTTGTAGTCACTGTTCACGGCAGGACCAGCTAAGGACACAGCTGTCCTACTGACACCATCTACACGCAGTCTCCTGTAGACATCAGCTCTGCTGCTAACATGGCCCCACAGATTGTCTCGCAGAGCCAAACACCCCCGGGACATCTGAACGTGCGCTTGCGGAAGCGCATTCTAATAGCTTATCATTCAGGGTTTGTATTTGCTGGCCTGGCCTGGCGCCGTTCCTCACTGAGGACTAGCCTCTTGCCTGGGTTACACGTTTGCTCCGTTTTACTGACCTTTTGAGGGCATTTGGCGCCGTAACAACTGCAGGGCAGTCAAGCTGTCCTGTGTGCAACACCCAACTGACATCTACCTCAGCTACCAAATCTCTCTGTCTCTCATCCCCACCCACATCACAAACAACATTTTCCGCCCTGTGTAGTTACTGGAGGCCTGGGAAGCGTCCCGAGTGTGGAAGAGAGGAAAGACGGAGGCCGTTGAGTGGAGACAGGAGAGGAATAAGAGGCAGGAAGAGACAGATGCAGATGAAGCCTGGGACAGAGCAGGGAGCTCAGGCACCAAGATTTACCTTTCAAGAACAAGAGATTCAGTGGAACTGAGCATCGAGACTTTTGAAGCGGACACAAAGAAACGCTGCTCTGAGAACACACGCTTAGCCAGAGGACCTCAGTGCCACCAGGTACCCCGGGGCCGAGCGCGGGGCGGCTCAGCGAAGGAGCAGCTGTGTAATGAGGCTTCTCACACCTGGCTCTGAAGCAGCAGGTGGGGAGTGCACCAAGCCAGAGCCATCAGGCAGAAGGAATGAACCTGCTCCTGCACAGAGGGGTCACAGCCCAGGAACCCCCAGCCCCTCCACCCCACACAGAGCCAGAGGGAGCCTGGCCCTGAGCACATGGAGCTCTCACCAGCACAGCTTGGGGTTGCCTTAGCTTAGGGGCAGGCGAGAGACACTCAAGGGAACACACTGCAACTTTTCCTCTCAGGCGCCTCCGGCAGTGCACCCGCCCCCTTCCCCAGCCAGGCCCTGGCCTACAGAGCCATCCATTAGAGAGGTCAGTGAGTAATTAGCTGGGCTGTAATGAAGCTACATTCATCAGCCCAAGAATCAATTCTCTCCTGAACATCTGCGCCTACGAGCCCCTCTCTGGCAGCACCTTCCCGGCTCTCTGCCATCTGCAGAGGCAGCACCAGACACGCTCAGTCTCTGCCCTGCCCCTTAGCCAGGGCACGGGGCGATCTGGGGCACACGTAGGGTTGGCGAGCGCAGACCCAGGGCGCACAGCCCTCCCCTGCCAAGCTGGCACATTCTCCGGTAAGCAGCCGTGGCAGAGCAATAACCACACGTGGCGATCCCATGCGAGGAGCCATTTCCCAGCCAGGAAGGGTCACTACCCCATTCTACTGATGGGGAAACTGAGGCAGCCACACGCCACCGACCCAAGGTCACAGAGCGACGCTGTGGCAGAGCTGGGAGCAAACCCAGGAGTCCTGACTCCCTGTCCTGTGCTCCAACCACTAGCCCACGCTGCCTGCAGCTTGGCCACGCAAGGTGGCGGAGCCCTGCTCGCCCGCTGCACCTTCCTGGCAGAGATTTATTTTTCATAATCTTTGGCACAAAGAAGTGCCTTGCTATCTGCCAGGCCCCAGACCCCTATCAATATGCATCAGGCAGTGTTTATGGAGACGGATGGCTCAGGGGTCTGTCCTGTGGTTCGGGGGAAGGGAGCGAGGGGGAGGGGCGTGGCCTTGTGATTAATCACTGCCCACTCTGTTTAGGGGTATCCATCACAGGCCGCTGTCAGGTAAATCACTGGAAAAACACCTCTCCAGTAATTAATGTGAAGTGACGGATGGACAGCTCCCGGGCCCATTAATCTGGAACCTCAGAGCCGCCCGAGATTACGAACGTCAGGATGCAGAAACTGCCGGCGGATCAATAGGGCCAGGAATCCATCCAAGGTTCTCATTTCCGAGGCACCTCCGGTGCATTAGGCTCCTTCCCCTGCCCCCCGCCCCAACTGAAAACGGATCCCTCCAGAACCAACAGCAGGCGCCGGGGGGCTGGCTGAAGAGGGGCAGGAGTGTGCCGTCGACAGCTCTGGCCAGGGCCCCGGAGCAGCTCCCAAGGGCTCCTGGCGGGGTCCCCGTCCCACTTTACACGCAGCACAGACAGTCCTCTGCCCACCTCTCACGGCTCCACAGTGAGAACAGAGCAGACGCAGGGAGCCAGCGCTCCGGGGCTGGAAGGGAAGGGCAGCTCGGCTGCACTCCTCGGGCTGGCAGTGCCAGGAAGGCAGGCGCACACCCACAGCAGGCCAAACCCCAGGTGCACTTTGTGGTCAGGCCTCAGCCACGGCCCAATTGTCGGTTAGAAAGTGTCCCAGCTGCAGGGCCGCCTGTTCCGCCAAATCTCATTCCATCCTGCTGATGGATGGATGGATGGCCGGCCGGCCGGCCGGCCGCCTGGGGAAAGCAGCCATTGCAGGCAGCTCCCCTGCAGCCTGTATGATGGAT